CCCACGGACACCTACCCACGGGGCCGTCGTGCGAGACGGTGTGCATGCTGAAGGACAACTCCCGGCCTGGGTCACGCAGGAGCTCCTTGCGCTTGGAGAAGGCCTTCGCGATCATCTTGCTCTTCTTGATCCTCTTGGGCTGGTCATCGCTCTGCCCCGTCAGCCTGGGGACACGGCGGGTCCCCGCAGGGACCACGGGGGAAGGGGACACACAACCCCAGGCATCGCAGCTGCGGGCACGGGGACCCTCCCCGTCTCCCTCTCTCACTCTGGACAGGGACACCAAGGGCTGGGGACTGCGTTGGATGGGTCCCCCGGGGACGCAGGTGTCCCACAAACAGGACATGAGACACCTGCAAAGGAGGGGAGGCCACCCCGCTCCCCAACCGCCATCTGCTGTGAGCCCACAACTCATTGAGCTGATGGACAAAAGCCTGGGGACGACCTCCAACATCTCAAGATGTTGGATGGGGCAGGAAGGGTCACAAGGAGCTGGGGTGACATCCTCGCGGTCCCACCTGCACCAGGTGCGCTTCCAGATGAGCAGAGTGGCCTTGGTCCAGACCCGGAGACGCCGGTGCCGAACATGGCGAAGAGGTTGATCTTCTCCACCAGCAGGCTCGGCCGGTTCTTGATCTCGCAGTCTGGGATGGGCTTGTTGGTCTGCGTGGCGATGGTCACGTTGGCCTCGCACCTGCGGGGACAAAGGCGGGATGGTGGCTGTAAGGAGGGGGACACCCAACGACACCGCACAGCTCTGCAGAGTGGAGATGTGGTAGCAACACCGGTGGGAGACACAGGGTGCTCCACTCTGCAACGTCCCCCACTAAATGTGAGGTGCTGGGATGCCACCAGCGTCCCACTCGCCCTCCCGTCCCCGTCCCACTCACAGGACGTATTCCCGAAAGCTGCGCTCCCACTCTGCCTGGTTGAAGAAGTCATAGAAGTGGCAGCCAAAAGTGATGAAGACGAAGGCAAGAAAGCCGAAGATGCCTGGAAGAGACGCGGGACGTCCCTGGTTTAGCCAGACCCCAGCAACACCGGGACAAAGATGCTGCACCGGGGCTGTGCCACTGCCACTACAGCTTTGTCCCTCACTGCAGCCACCCCCGGAAAGGGGAGATGGGGCCGTCTGGGTTCAAGGGGACAAAATGTCCCCATTCCCACCCAAATTCCCATGGAAATGGTGCCAACGAAGCCCCGCCTACCCAGCCGCAGCATGGTCTCGTTGATCTTGCTGGCTGCCTTCTCGCTTAGCCGCCCGGGGTGGCTGCTCCTGATGGAGGAGAGCGTCATGACCCCAAAAAAAAGAGGGAGGAGGTGGTCAGGGTTGGGGGCGGGGGGACCCCCACACGGCCCCCGTCCCCACGCCAGGGTGGCCCCACACCTACCCCGGATGAGGAAGTAGCCCCCCACGATGAGGACGAGCCCGATGGGCGCCAGGACAAAGCCAGCCCGGTAGCGGTAGTTCTTGTACCCCACAAAGCAGATGCCGCTGACAGAGTCACCATCCACCTGGCAGAGATGGGGATGGGGAGGGGGGGTTCCCCAGTTGGCTGCGGCCACCCCTCCCCAGGCAGGTCACCCTGGCTGGGAACCACCAGGACATGAGATCGTCGTCCCATTACCTGCGCCACGGCCAGGATGGCCACGGTGAGGACGAAGGGGATGGACCAGGTGATGAGGTGGAAGTAGGAGGTCTTGCCCAGCAGCGGCTGGTAGGTGGTGCCCAGCGCCTTGAAGGAGGTGTGCCAGGCGTAGGTCAGCATGACGAACCAGATGACACCCGACATCAGCGAGTAGTAGACAATGACGAAGATGATGACGCAGGAGAGCGTCTCATTGGAGCTACAGGGGGGAGGTGAGACAGGAGTGTCACCAGCCTCCACGAGGGGACAGGGAGGAGGAAGGAGGTCTCTCCTACCCCAAGAGTGGAGCATCCTCCATGTTCCCAAGAGGCAAGGAAATCCCGGGAGCCTTCCTCGGTCCCGGGGACACCTCTTGGCACATGGCCGCGGTGGGATGGGGACAAAGGTGACACGTACGTGGGTTCCCCCAGCCGCATGGTGCCATCGGCCCGGCAGACGATCTCATCGCGGGCACCATCCATGAACTGTGCCAACCAGCCAATGCTGCCCACGAAGAAGCAGGCGTTGACATAGAAGAGGATGACGGCGGGGTAGCGGTTGGAATTCCTCCAGTCGGCGACGAACGTGGCCTGGTGGGGTCGGGGGGAGAGAAAGGGACAGCTTGGTGCCCAGTCCCCTTTTGGGGATCCCTCCCCACGTCCCCTCCGCATCTCACCAGGGTGAAGAAGGTGCAGAAGATGGTGACGGAGCTGAAGGCGGCGATGTAGACATGCATCTCGCGATGCTCCTTCTCGGTGAAGAGCGGGTTCTGGCACTGGATGCCGCAACCCTCCACGTCCTCGTACCAGCTCTTGGGGTTGTCCGTCCGCACCAGCGGCACCTCGCACTGCCCCGAGCTGTTGAACTTGATGTTCTGCACCTCGTTCTGCCGGAGGAGAAGGGGAGGCCATGAGGAGGAGACACCCCCACGACGAAGGCTGCGCCGCCAGGGTAGACATCGGTCCCCCACGGATGGCT